GGGTGAGGTGTGGGTTACACCAAAGCAAAGATTAATGTCACCAAGCCACTCCCTGCCATTCTTCTTGTCTGGAGGAAGGACATGCATTCCTTTTTTAAAAATAAGCAGGCTACCTTGTTGTCTGGATCCTACCAGAATGAAAGCTCCAGGAATGCAGAAACGATATGTACTATACATCTCCTGCATCTAGCACAGGGCCCAGCACATAGTGGGTGCTGAACCAATATTTTTTGACAGATGACACTATGTTTGACAGAATAAAATACTTTTATCATGTCTGTCATATAGTAGGCCAATTAAAATGACATCTGCAATGATAACCATGTGCACAGTGATCACCTTGACCTGGGAAAACTTTTGCTCAGAGCAATCCTAAAGTTTTGTGGCAAGCCTTGCAGTTATGTTTAAAAGTGCCAGATCATGCAGAGAAGCAGTAAGACCACGAGTACCACTGCACAGCCAAGGCCCGTGGAAGTGACAGACGAGCACGTGGAGTGGTACAGAGTGAGCCTGTCAGTTGTTAGTGACCTTGCATGCCCCCAAACAACAATGTCAGTAGTTGAGTGTTTACAATCCTCTTTAATTAAAGATTATTTGACAACTTGAGAAGAGAAACAAAAAGATATCTCTAGAGTGTATTTCTTGGACACTCAGTGCTAAAGTCAAAAGAAACATGTTAACAACCCAGAAAGAAACCTGGGTCCTTTTACAACTGCCCACCTGACAGAAGGGTCACAGTGGTGAAATTAACTATGGAGACACTAATGGAGATAAGCACTTCATTCATCTATCCCATTCATTACATCATATCAATTGTTGTGCAGTCCAAGAGAAAGACTGGTTCTGACCTCCAAAGGCCTGAGTGATACAGGTTGATTTCCTCTCCTTGTCTTCCTCTTAATCCTAAGGATACACTTCTCCAAAGAAGGAGAATCTCCAAAAGAAAAGTATTTGAAGGAGAGTGAAAAAGCAGGTTGAAAAGTATTAGCTGACAAATTATTCCAGGAACAGAGAAAAGAAAGTATAAGGGTAGCAAAGAAACAATTATCCAGACAAAAATGTAAATAATACAATGAAAAGATAGGAGAGAAACCTAAGATGGAGGCAAATTACAGATTCTAGACTTTCTGCTGCATCTTGCTTTCTATTCCCTACTAATAAGAATCTGGTCTGGATGGTTTAGGCATGGAAGTTAAATAGGCAGGTATAGACTAATATAAGTCAAATGTCTAAATAATGTGGTATGTGTTATTATGTGGCTTAACAGATGGCAAAATTAGGAAGTGAAGCAACTTGATCTAAGTCACAAAAAAAGGAAGAGGCAAAGCTGGAATTATAACCTAATTTTCTGTCTCCTAAGTTTGAGTGTTTTTCCACAACTGTCTATAGCATACATTTGTTCAGAGATAGAAGAGTGACAATATTAAATTTCTCTTCAGGGGACAATTGCACAAGACTGTATTTTCCTTTAGCTGTGCCTGAATTATTGATTTGTTTATAATTGCTATTGTTTACCATAAAGATCTACACATTTGTTCAGAGATAGAAGAGTGACAATATTAAATTTCTCTTCAGGGGACAATTGCACAAGGCTGTATTTTCCTTTAGCTGTGCCTGAAATATTGATTTGTTTATAATTGCTATTGTTTACCATAAAGATCTACATTCAATTAGGGGAATACAAAGCCTATATTAGCATGAAAGTTTTCTTCATGAAACCTATATATCAATTTAAATAAACATAACTTCATAACAGCCTAGCCAGGTGTTGCTAAGTATGATAATACCATATTCAACATCTGAGAATCTTGACAAAAATTATAAATGATATGCCAGGCAAGCTGCTGTTTCTGAATCTTTGTGTCCTGAAAAATCTTAGTATACTGTACTGAAAGCATGTATATCCCCCGTATAAAAAGAGGAGGCACAGAGGAGACTAACTAGTTTTAATAGGAGTAAAGCAATAGGAAGCAGAATTACGGAGCAGTATCTTGAACAGTAAAATTCCCCCGGTATCAGTTGCACGTCAAATTTCACAGTTTCTATGAAGCCCCAATAATCAAAAAGTTCTACAGAATATGTTTCTACTTACTCAGTGAAAGAAGCAGAAAGGCATCTGTTTTTCCTTCTTAGAATTTATAGTTAACATAGGGCAAGGGAACACAGACAGCCTCCCCTAGCAAGAGCAGTTACCTCCAATAACACAGTGTTTCTCTGGTTATGATGAATAATCTTTCTGCTGTCTGTTTGACAAAATTACTCATGTTATGGGCATTGTATTAGGGGAAAAGCTGAGCTGAGCTGAGCTTTCAGTAATTTGTTTTAATTTTATAGTCAAATAGCAATTATAGTACAATTTCATAAATGATTCACCTTTCCCCCTCTTCCTCAATCATGCCCCAACAATTTGGAGAACAGAACCAGTAGATGCACAAAAACTTTGACCATGAACCCTCTGAACACCTAAAACCCCAGGAAAAAAGGAAGGGAGATGGGGCAGACAGCTTGAAAGCTGGAAGGACTGAGGCATAAGAAAACTTATGATCTATTTCCCATCATCATGGGGGAAAAGTCCCCAAAATGATCTCTTCTGAATCCTCTAAGATGGACTAGATCAATCAGTTGTTTTTAACTTTGGCTGACGTTAGCACCACTTAGGCAGGTTTTACAAAATCATTGCCTGGGCCCTACCTCCTAGAAATTCTGATTTAACTAGTCTTAGGTAAGGTGTCAATATATTTTAGAAACTCTCCAGGTGTTCTAATGAGCAGACAGGATTGTGAACCACTGGCCTAAACAATTCAGAAATACGAATAAATGTAAACCATATTGGCAAGATTTGAACCTAGTATTTCTACCACACTGGGAAAAAAAAAATCCTAAAATGTTAAGAAACCAGAACATGAGAATATCATTAAGCAATAGCAACAATAACAACAACACAAAAACCTCTTCCAAGACCTAGGAAAGGAAAGGAGGTAGAAAAACTTTGAATGAATCCTCTTTCTATTCCACTACTGTAGGAAATCAACATTTATTAGCAGCATACACTGTGCTACTCACTAGACTGGTTACCAGGTACACAAAGGAACATGAAAGTAGACATTAATTTCCCATTTTACAAATGAGGAAACTGAGTCTCAGATATGTGAAGAAACTTCCCTAAGGCCAAAGAACAAAGAACAAAGACAGATTGTGATCCCAGATCTGTCCCAAGTCCAAAGTTTTTTCTCTTCTCTATATCTTCTGGAACATTTTTTTGCACTTGCTAATTTAACAGATGGGTGCTGGGCACTAGCTTTGTTATGAGACAAAGTATTTCTATGCCTCCAGAACAAAGCGTAATTTTAGCAACATTTTCCACTGCAGAACCTCAGAAGATTTCATTATAAGGGATTTAATCCATAGTTCTTGGCTATTAGCAATCTGACAAATGACAGTGAATAGGTAAAAGGGAGAAATATAATAAGATTCAAGGAGCAGGTAGGGGACTGATGGTAAAGTACTTTGAATGTCAAGTAGAGAGTTTGGAATGAATGAATATACTAATTAATTAACATATCTATGTGTGTGTGTGTATACATATACATATATAAAATCAATATGCCTTGAGTTGGGCAGGGAGAACTCTCTAGGGCCTGGACAATAGGGAGATAGAGGTTTTAGAGAGTTACCATATCTAAATGGCAATCTAATATGCCAAGCCATAAAGCAAACTATGAGGAAAGAAAAATTTATCAAAACACTCCATTTGCAAAGTAGAACTAGGAAAAAAACAATAACCCAGAAACATTATTGATAAATCCACATAAGAAACATTTATTATTCTCAAAAATAAACTCTAAAATTAGGGGTATTTTCAAGTTAAGTCTTTTTTTTACATTACTTTTTTATTATAGCTTTTTCCAAAAGACAAATTTAGTAGCTGACAAAATACAACTCTCTGACCCAAGGCAGATGGTTAACATAACATCCTAGAACTGGAGAAATTTATTAGCATATGTCAGAGCTAACATTAAAAAACTTAATGGATTTACTAACTTCCCTCCAGGTAGAAAGCATATTTCCAAACTTAAGTGAACAAATCAAAAAATCAGGAAGAGAAAAGGAAACAATTTCAGTCTCCAATAAAGCTAAATATCTGTTTACAACTCCATAATTAGATGAAATACACAAATAAATAAGAAAAAATATACAAAGCTGAACAAAAAAGGAAAGGCTAGGTTATTTTTCCTTATTACTTCAACACGATGATTTTATATTTTTCATATTAGTACGAAACAACTTGCTTTTCTCCACTTTAAAAGGATATTGAAAATGAAGATAATTTAAAATGTTGCATACAAAGGTATATACGCCCTTTACTTCCTATATTCCTACACACAAACATTTCCAACACCTAAATAATTTAAAGCATTAAGAAATCTGGCATTTAGCATGTCAACAGAAGTGAATTTGACACTACATCAAATTAAGCAAATAAACTCAATGTAATAATTTTCTTAGTTACATTTATCATATCAAACATTTAATTGTCCTGAAACTTATTTTCATTGTACCTAAATAATTTAAAGCATTAAGAAATCTGGCATTTAGCATGTCAACAGAAGTGAATTTGATACTACATCAAATTAAGCAAATAAACTCAATGTAATAATTTTCTTAGTTACATTTATCATATCAAACATTTAATTGTCCTGAAACTTATTTTCATTGTATACTTCTTTTAGCTATACTTTTTAATACTATGTGAGTGTGTGTGTATGTGCACATGCATGCATGTGTGTATGTGACTGCATGTGGCAATGAATTGATATACACGTTTATTTTACTATGGTTCTGAGCTCATGATTTCCTGATATTTTCTGGAATGATCGAAATGAACATAAATGATGATAAACAGTCTCTATGAGATAGTGATTTCTTTTAAAAAAAATGTTTTCAATAATTTTGTTACTTTTTATTCTTGAACAGGATGAGGACAACGGCTCATTACATACCATAATCTGTGATTTTACAGGACACCAAATACAGCTCTTTCAGGTTTTGTCCTTCCTTGGCAATGACCTCCACACACCTGAAACACACAAAAAAAGTGGTGAGTTATACTAATGCTTTTCAAGTTAAATTAGCAAGGCTTGGCCAGGGATGTAACAGGAAGAGGTCAGCATTTGATGAATGCCACAGCTCTCTTCTTTCAACAAACCTCTTTCAAGGTGTTTCAGGAAAAGGTATTATATTCCCTGCTTTAAACTCAAGATCACAAATACTGAAATGGCTTTAATTAAATACATTTATGACTAGTGCATCTTTTAAAACCAAAGAGATGAAAATGGGTTATTCCTATAAGAGTAATGTTACATTTGGTAATAAAAGACTAGTAAACATATGCTATATCATAAATATATATCATTTATATAACAAAATAATATAAAAATAATTACAATGAAACTAGAATATAGATGAATAATAATAGGCAGATGGCAGTATTACTTGTCATGGTTCAATTACTAATGATGGAATTTGATAATACAAATACACACTTTCTGTGAAATTTTATTCAACATTAAACAAAAATATATTTTTTAAATCTGTAACTTCTAAAGATTAAAAGATGAAAAAAATTATGTACTTAAGATCTTTAAAATCTTTTCCTTTAAAATGTTTTATTCTTAATATTTAAATGAATTGTTGTATAGGTATAAGCCATTTTAATTATATGAATATAGATATGTAAGATTTAAAATCTTTTCTGGTTTCATTTAAGTTAAAAGGTTTTTGAATGGTGCACTCTATTCTAATAGTCCTAGCAGAACTTGTAGTAAAGAATTGAATGAACTTTAAAGATAATGATTAACAATACCCACTTTGTGGCTCAGTTCCCTATAATATCAGAAAAACCTGTGCAATCATACTGATACACAGGCATATGCACCCCCCAAATGCAGTTCCTGTTTTAATCTTTATAAATAACAGTTAAGTAAAAGGGTAAAAGCAAAAAGAGTCATTAACCTTTTCTAGGAAGTAAGGATCAAGTAATTGATATCTGTGTGTATAATCCATCAAAAAATTACTCAGTATCCATCTCTGTCTTTCAGATATTTTATATTCTGTCTGGCTATTTGTAGGTATCTTCATAAAATGTCAGGAAATTTTATATAATTTTACTCCACATAATTCATTACTGAAGGTTAAATTAGTTACAGAGAAGACATATTTTTCTTTTAAAATATTTTTATAGAATTTTGTTTTAATGGAATGGCAAACATTTTGTTTTCTCAGAATAACTGAACAAACATTTTGACCAAATCTTAAAAAAATTTATGATAAAAATGGATAAGCTTGACATGACTACAACAGAAAACCTAAAACAATAACTCAAGGCAATTATGATTGATACAGATTATTGCGAAGGGAAATTTTAAAATCAAATTCCACATCATTTAGCTTTAATGTAACATTTGAATAAGCTCACAAAAAAGAAAGAATAAAAATTTTGATAATAATCTCATTTTATATACAACATAAAAAGTAATTTTTACATGCTAAGAATAAAAATAAAGGCCCTAGATGACTGCAAAATCCTAAATAGTTAAAAAAAGTCTGATCAATTTCTGTCATATCAAAGATACACAGCTCACTGTCTTCCTCCATCACCTACCAAAAAAAGGAGCAGATCCATTATTTTGTGTGACCACCAAAAATCATTACTTGTATTTTCTTCTCATGCTCTTTTCATATAGCTCAAAAATGCTTGGTTTTACATTTGATTGTAAAAAAAAATAAACAAATGCAACATCTTATTTGTGTTCTTTCTACTTTATATTAGATATGCTACAAGCACATATGAACATTAAAGATATACAAAGAGGACTACAAACAGCAAATACAAATTGATTTCACTGTACAAGCCAAATCAAATGCTATTTCATAGGCAACAAGAACCTGAACTTCTGTGAAATAAGATAATCAATCACTGGATGAAGACTGTCCTAAAACTGATGAAAGGCAATGAGCATCAGGCTTCCTCCCTACATGACAGAGAAAAGCTCAGGAAGTGTGGAAGATTATGAATAGATATTTTTTAATTACTTTGCTTACTCAAGAAGCAATACAGTAGACAAGAGATAACACATGATTATGGAGTAAGTAGTGAGCATCTTTCAGACAAAAAAGAACAGTGAAATATAAGAGGAAAGCACTTTGCTTTTATAAGGGATTACCTAGGATTTTTGCTCCGTTCTTGAAAATTCAGGTACACAAGGTTTTCCAAATACTTTTAATTACTCTATAATCATAGTCAGTGTGCTAGAAGTTATGCACAACATAGAACTATTCCTGGAATAATAATTCATGGAGAAAAAAAATGTATACCTTGGAAGATTTGTAGCAAAATTTAATTTTAAATCACTCATGGGTGTGATATTTGAGGAGAGCAACCTCAAGTTCTGTGAATCTGGACTGACACTCTTAATATAATATTAAAACACAAAATTGAATGGTTCAAATAAATAGCTAAAATAGCTATTGTTTTGAGAGTTGAAAATGGAAGTGGTTTGTATTATACTGTTACCGCAAATTGGTGGAAATGGAACACCACCTAATGCCCCTAGCTAAGTGTCTGGAGCCATATAATTCATCTAGGTCTAGTTTTCCAGGCAGCATGTGGTGACAATAAGTCACGATGAGAGACCATGGGTGGTGACTGTCCTTTTCTCCTGAAACTTTTAGAGTCCATTCTAGAATATATTTACAGAAAATACTCTAACGTAATACAAGTCTGTGAACCACATTTACTTTAATTCTACTCTGTTTTACAATGAATTTTCACTCTACTCATGATGTTTAGTATATTAACATCAGAGCAATTCTCAGTTTGCTGTATAGTACATATGCAGAAAACAAAGTGGTAAATCTTTGTAATTATTTAAACTTTTTGACTACAGGTACTCATGTAAGCTTTTTAAGGGCTGTTTTAAAAACGGTACCAATAAAAGAGAGAAATGTTTGCCAAGTAATAATCTTTAACTGAGATGGGGAGCCACATTTAAAACTTTTGTTTCTCCATCCCCTTTCCTACTCACATATCACTCAGGAGAATATGCATTAGTCCCAGTGATGAATTACAGTTTTGTCCCTAGGGGCAAGCCATGAGTTCCTAACTCAGAATCTAGAATTCAAATTTTTCCCATTTCTCCCCTGACCTCCTGTCCCCACCATCCCTAAGGACCAATCTCAGAATATCATATGACCAACATTCTCTGTGGATCAATACTTTCAAAGATTTCCTTCTTCATGCATAACAACATAAGGAATTATAAAATTCAGGAAAAGAACTATATCCTTAGGGAAAGTAACAAGTTATAAGTTATTAAGGAGAAATCCTTAATATGGGAAAATACCATAGTGGAAAAATACTGAAGAATATAAAATACTATTAAAGTAGCCCATGAACGTCAAATAGTTAAGCCTACTAAACCATTTTCCTGAGTTCTGAAAAATAAGAGGAGATGTGTCTTAACAGTAAAGAATAAGAACCAAAGACATACAGTTAGTGTCACCTCAAGGGAACTAAAGAACAACCACTTACCTTTTTTGGAGCTCTACATCATAATTCTCTGCAAAATGAGGGCCATGCGAAAAATTTCTCCAAATCAAAATGTTAATTTTCATATACTTTAGTGTATTCTGAATTGTCTGCCTTCAGATTATTTTCTTGCTTTTAATGTTTTGGCTGGGGTCTGGAGAATTAAAAACAATTGCTACCATCGTACATTCTTGAGTAATAGCCATTGCATACACACACACACACACACACATACTCACACACACACTCTCTCTCTCTCTCTCTCTCTCCCTCTTAGAATACAGAAAAAAACCTGCCCCAAAGTATCCAAAGCATCCAGAATTATTTTTATAATAATGTAAAATTGCTACCATCGTACATTCTTGAGTAATAGCCATTGCATACACACACACACACACACACACATACATACTCACACACACACTCTCTCTCTCTCTCTCTCTCTCTCTTAGAATACAGAAAAAAACCTGCCCCAAAGTATCCAAAGCATCCAGAATTATTTTTTATAATAATGTACTTTTATGCTCTCTTGCTTTTGGTAATGTTCTAAAATGCACCTGAAACAGTTGATGAAATTTGAAAAGCAAGAGAAAGGTTACTTGTGTGAGCTATATGAGATTTTCTTTTTTCGAAGAAGAGAAAGCATTACTTAGTATCAGTGGAGGGAAAATCTGTCTCCTTAGCAATAGATTCCTAATCATCTGATTTATGTGAAGGGTAAAGGTTAATGAATTAAGCTGTGTAAGCTTCAAACTATCAAAGGAATTCAAAAGAGCCTTGAACTATGGAAAACAATGGCCCATTTTACATACATACCAAATTTTTATGTTTTTTGTCTCCTACTCAAAAGCAGGAACATGGCATTAGTGACAATTGAAAAGAACTAATGAGGAAATATGACTACACTGCTTGCAAGAGGAGTGTCCTAGGAGACCTTGTTACTGTTTGTGATGTGCTTCAAACCCAAAAGAAGCTAATTGGAGCTGCCAGACACTGGTTTGCAAATCTCACTTTAAAGGATGGGCTCAATCACCTTAGAGGTGTGAAAAGAAATGTCCCCATTAGAGATGCATTAGTATGTGGCTTGGCGAATTTCTAAATAAACTTAAGGATGTTCTTTCCTAAGTCACTTTTATATTTGAATAACACATATATCTTTAAGCAGAGAAAAAAAATGCAACAAGGCAAAAATAACCCCACAAATTTAAAACAAAAAAGTATAAAGAATGCTATAGTGTAATTGGCAAATAAGTGCAAGTGGGAGCTAGGTATGTTTAAGGTTGAATAAACATGTAGATCAAACCTCAAAACTCCTCAAACACAAACACATTATAACAGTGTTCTATTTGGAGATTTTAGAAATAGAACCTCATTTTCATCATTTCTTGACACTAAACAAGGCAACAAGCCAACCTATGTTATATAGATTGTAAGTGGGTAGAGGCTTAAGAGGCTGCAATAAACACACACACACACACACACACACACAC